TGATAATCAATGCTCATATATATTTTGGAGATATCACTTCAAACGATGCGAATGAGAACAACTGTCGATCGACTGTCCTAGTCCCGACTTGGTACATGTTCTTTCCAATGAATATGGTGGGTGAACAAGGTTTTGGCTGAAAAAGGGTTTACAGCGCAAAAACTCCCTCTTGACATAACAGTAATTGTCATTGTAATTCCCAATTGGGTATCTTAGGGTCAATGTCCCCAATGGGGAATTGTTTTGTATTTGAACAGTTTAACGGACGTGGCAATGTATTTATAAATCCAAAACAGTAAAACGGACGTGGTAGTGTATTTATATAAATCCCGCACAGTCATACAGACGTGACAGTGTATATATGCATCCCACATATCCAAGGAATAGTTCCAACAAATGTAATTTTTACTATCAAGCAAGGACAGAAACCATATCATAAGATATGCTTACTTTGTGTATCTAACTTTTCGCTGACAAATAGTTGCAAGAAAAATAAAATGATGCGTTTTTAAATTTTCTATTTTTAATGAGTAAAAAAGATGCTATAAATACAATGATAACACGATCATATATATATGTATGTAATGAATATTGATAACTGAATGATTTATTTTTGTCGAATTAAACCGTGAAATATAATAAAACATTAAGAAAAGTATATGTATAATGATGTCAATAACAAAACAATAACAAAACAAAAAACAAATAGCTTCATCCAGTAAAGAAAAGATAAAATTACATTAAGTGCAAAAATATAAACACATTATTTCCAGATACTACAAACAATTTAGTCTCTATCCGCAGTGGATATAAATACCCGATGTATATACTTTAAAATGACCGAAGCGAAAATAAAACTCGTCAAACCAGGAATCATGCATATCGAACATAATTAACACTTAGTGTCGTATGAGGAGAGTCTGAGCTAATACATTATATATACAAAATGCCGCAAAATCCATGTTTTGCAGTGGTATATTCCACCATTTTGAACATGAAATAAAATAGGAGTTGCACAATGTCATGTTGTACTGTACCGTTTTATGCCATGAATTTTTGATTGACGGCTGCTTAATGTCTAGCGCAAATTTGTTTTTGTATATTCAGGACGATTTCTGTTAATGAGATATGAACATACCCTGCTTTATACTAGACTGAGTAGGATTTCGAAAGAAGTATCTCACAAAGTAACAGTTTGTAGGAATATATTATTAGTTATACAGTTTGCTAGTGACCTACTACGATATATATAGGGTCAGTAAATTCCATAAAGGGTGAGAGCGAAGAAGATATGCATCAGGTATCCCATTTCATGACATTATTCCGACTCCGAGCGGACCAGTTATTGTTCTTACTTTTAGTTTAACCAAAATGTGGCTTCAAAAACCGAGTCGAGCATGACACCGCGAAATCATCGATCACCGAGTACTAAATATAATGGAAATCCATTCAATGGTTAAACAGATTTGGAAAAGGGGAATGTTATCCCAATCGGAAAATGACAAAGTTCATATTTTTATTTGGAATCCAATATATTCCTTTGATTAGAAATATCTAAAATGATATTAGCCTTGTATCACCATCACTGGTGATCCGATGGAAAAAATCTGACGTTGAGATGTCACTGGTTCAGACTTACTTATAATATAATTATTTCTGTGACTGCATCCTACATTAATTTGTAAGATCCTCTACGATAGATAATTCAGCTGATCTGTAATATTCCATCTTCATGCCTTATATATCATGTACTGTGTTACGACGCTAGATAAAAACTGACGAGGAAAGGTAACAACTGGCCACCGAAAGCTTGACTTTTGTCGAACCTAGGTGGTCGAGTGGTCTAGCGCGTCGGGCATAGTGCAATGCGATTTGGTGCCACGATATCTCAGGAGCATGAGTTCGAATCCCGGCCAGGGAAGAAGATAAAAATTTGCTTCCGCAATTTACAGATCTAACATTGTTGGGCTGTTGTTTAGACGAATTATGTATACAGAATGTACTTTCAGCCTTGTATCACCATCACTGCTGGTGATCCGATGGATAAAATCTGTTGTAGAGTCGTCACTGGTTCAGACGTACTTATTTTGTTTTGCATGCACACGTATAAAAATTGCGGTTTTTATCCAATTAACGCAATCATAGGTTTGATACGTGTGCATGCAAAACAAATTTCTTGTTAGAGGGGTCTAAATACACCACAAACAACATTTTCCAACAGACCAAAAAACTGAAAAAGTATATTTTAACAAAACGCATTTGACTAACAGGTCGAACAACAATTGTTCTTAAACCCTAGCTGCTGACTGCCATTGGCGATTGCCAAATAAACGGATCACCGATGTAATAAATCGATCTTAATTATAAATTAAATACTAAACAGAAAACAATAAACTTGCGGAAAAGACGGTATACCGCAAACAAAAGGGGCAAAGGTTTTTGTACACCATATCCGGATTTCGACAATTAATGTCTCTTCAGTGATGTTAGGAATCGAATAGGTATTTGGAAAGCCATACAATTTAGTGAATTTACATATATATGTATATACAACTCGTCTAAACATCTGCCCAACAATGTTAGATCTGTAAATTTGCTTTCGCAATTTTTTTGTTCTTCCCTCGGAATATATATATATGTTACAGTGAATTTGTATAATCAGGGATTATGTAGAATCCCTGGTTTTTCAGGGATTATGTAGAATCACTAAACTCATTAGTGATTATATATAATCCCTGAAAATGACCAGTGATTTTACATAATCACTGAACATTTTACTAATTATTTTACAAATTCCCTAATATGATTTCAGGGATTATCAATAATGAAAAAAAAAATAAGGGAAAGGTTACCATTGTAATTTATTTAACTGTATGTTGAACCACAATATTTCACAAACAAATAAGTATGGCAGAGGAAAATACAAAATGCAAGCTATGGACAAGGAACAAAAAATGGTATTTTTACTTTGATGACAAAAGAACCAAGTAAAAAAGACTAAAATCCTGCTTAATTCTATCTGCTAACAAAGTATATACATTGTATTTAAATTGTTTTAAGGCTGCTATTATCCTATATATTTCATACATATATTACACTCTCTACAGCATTATGCAGTACTATAGGAGGGGACGGGGTTGGTGGGCATGGATCTAAAAATAGATAGTCTTCAATATTTGACGAAACAAATATATATTGTGTGAAAAGCAAAAGTTGTCAAAACTAGATATACAAAAACAGAAGTACCATTTATATGATTTGCGTCTCATAAGTATACTAGTTTTTATAACAAATCAGTGGTTGATTCGAGTTGAATTGAGGGCATTGTCCATAGAGGGGATAAAGAACATGAAATTCAATTCTGAGAGAAATAACGCAACAGAATTCTGCTAGCATCCGCAATCAGTTCACGGCTGCTGATTCCCTTTTTTTGGGTACCTTCAGATGATTGTATTACAAACTTTATTTCTCTTAGACATGCCGTAAAATCTGATTCGATATGAGAAAGACAAGGTTTTTTTTTAATGTGGATAGTGTAGTAAAACAGATGCGAATCAGGTAGATGTGCCTGTAGAAAAACAGGGCAAATGTGCAAAAGTTTCTGCCATCCAAATTTATTTAATGAATGTTTTAATATATTGTGCTTAACATTTTTGTATTTTGTGTAAAATATATTGAGGTTATTATTTTAATATATAGTGCTTAATATTTTAATTTTGTGTGACATTTTAAAATATTATGCCTAACATTTTTATTATACTCTAAGGTTATCATTTTTGTCGAGCCTTTTTGTCGCAGAAAGCTCGACATAAGGATAGTGATGCGGCGGCGTTAGCTTACTTCTTAAAAGCTTTATATTAGAAGGTAGAAAACCTGGATGCTTCATACTTTGTATATAGATGCCTTATGTTACGAAGTTTCTGTCTGTCACATGTCCATTGTCCTTGATCTCATTTTCATGGGTCAGTGAGTACTTGAAAAAAAGTTAAATATTTTTTGTAATGTTAATTTCTCCCTTATTATGAGTAATAGGATGACTATATTTCGTATGTGCGTACATTGTACTTTGCAGGGTCCTCATGCCCGTCAGACAGTTTTCACCTGACCTCGGCCTCATTTCATGGATCAGTGAACAAGGTTAAGTTTTGGTGGTCAAGTCCATATCTTAGTTACTATAAGCAATAGGACTAGTATATTTGGTGTATGGAAGGATTGTAAGGTGTACATTTGCAACTGGCAGGTGTCATCTGACCTTGACCTCATTTTCATGATTCAGTGGTTATAGTTCAGTTTTTTGTTATGATCTGTTTTTCTTATACTGTATGCAATAGGTCTACAAATTTGGTGTATGGAAATATTTTAGGATGTTTATAATGAAGTTTTATTATGATTTGATATTATAAATTATTTAGTTTAACTTACATTCATTTTTTTCATACCCAAAACTGTTTCTTCATTTCAGTTATTATGCATAATCCCTGACGTCTTTTCTAGTGATTATACATAATCCCTGAAAATTTCAGTGATTATATATAATCCCTAAACTAACCAGTTATTTTACATAATCCCTGAAAATTTCAGGGATTATGTAGAATCCCTGATTATATAAATTCACTGTAACATATATATATGTCTAGAGATTTGCACAACGATACTAATATAAGATGGTATTTATACGAAGATGTTGTTATTAAATCGTGTTGACAAATATTTCGGCTTAACAAATAGCCTTCTTCAGTGACACTGAAGAAGGCTATTTGTTAAGCCGAATTATTTGACACTGAAGAAGGCTATTTGTTAAGTCGAAATATTTGTCAACACGATTTAATAAGAACATCTTCGTATAATACCATCTTATATTAGTATCGTTGTGCAAATATCTAGACTTATATATATATATATATATATGACTTATATATATATATAATAAAAAGATGTTGTAGGATTGTCAATGAGATAACTATCCACCAGGGGTCAAATGAAGTGGATGTAAGCATATCATAAATATAGAATTGTAATTATACCAAATCAATGGAATACACTATACACAAATGTTTATAAATGGTGGGAGGCATCTCCATTGGGAACATGTATAACAACATCACTGTCGTGTGAAGAACCACCATCATCTCTCTCTTCGACATATCCTGCGTTAACTTGACTATTTATTGTATCAAGAGTTATATTTCCATTGGATATAATGTTTACATGTTCAGTAACTTCGCCTTCCTCTTTCAGAATTCCGTTTCTCTTTGCTTCCAGGTGTAATTTCAGGTCAGAGGTTGAATGTGAAGATTTTGGAGAGTGTTGGTGATGGTGAAATAATGGAAAACTATGACCAAAGCCTAAACCTTTCTTTTTCGATTTTCCTAAATTCTGATTGAGGAAAGCTGCTGAAACAAAAACAAGTTAAAAGGTAGTAACGGTTTTAAATCTTTACACATTGCTCCCAATATAGATAGTGAGTGTAATAAAAGGTTGCAATCATAGTTGTGTGAAGTTCTGATGCATTTGTGTAATTTTGTTTACGAGTTTGCTGTTTTCAGTTTTGCTTGATTTTAGCTCACCTGGCCTAAAAGGCCAAGTGAGCTTTTCTTATCACTTGGCGTCCGTCGTCGTCTGTATTCGTCGTTTGCCGTAGTCGTCTGTTAACTTTTACAAAAATCTTCTCTGAAACTACTAGAACTAATTTAATCAAACTTGGCTACAATCATCATTGATGTATTTAGTTTACAAAATGTGTCCGATGACCCCGCTTGCCAACCAAGATTTCCGACATGGCTAAAAATAGAACATAGGGGTAAAATGCAAGTTTTGCATAGTATTTTGAAAACCGCTATCAAAAGAGAAAATCTGACAGGGAAAAATGTTAAGAATGTTGAGCTCTACCTATTGTTAATTAACGTCAAAACTGTCAGGCGACTTCTTATAGGAGTTATTGCCCTTAAAAGATGAATTTTACCATTTAAAAAAATGTTTGCCTATTATCTTGAACATCATAATAGATAGACAGAAACTTTGAATAGCAAAAATGATCAGCAAGACAATATCTACAAATACGTCAAATATGGTCGAAATCTTTAGTCGACTCCTTATTAGAGTTATTGGCCTATAATGACGATTTTTACCAATTTTTTGCCTCATATCTTAAAAACTACAATAGATAAATAGAAACTTTAAAGAGCAAAAATGATCAGATAAGATCTACAAATAAGTCAACATGTCCGAAATTGTTAGTGGACGCCTTATTGAAGTTATTGCCCTTTAATGACGATTTTTTCCCATTTATGCCTATAATTTCGAAAACTGTAATAGATAGATAGAAACTTTAAAAAGCACTTATGATCAGCAAGACAATATCCAGAAATAAGTTATAATGGCAAAAATCTTCAGTCGACTCGTTATTGGAGTTATTGTCCTTTAATGACAATTTTTAACATTTTTTGCCCATTATCTTGAAAACTATAATAAATAAATAGAAACTTTAAAACGGAGTGATTATCAGTAGGATAAGATCTACAGATATGTCAACATGACTGAAATTATAGTTAACTCTTTATAGAGTTATTCCCCTTTAATGATGATTTTTACTTAAGGTAGATAGGGTGTCTTCCTCCATCTTGGATTTTGAAATACAAGAAAACAATCGGTCTAGATCTTTAATAAAAGGTGCAAATTTTGAGAGTAGTAGGTAATTCATGTGTAAGAATTTTCATTTCAATAGAGAAAATGACATATTTTATCATATTTATGGTTGTATTTTACAGAAAAACAGAATACTTTTGTTTGATTCTATTTTTTCCAACTTTGCCACATAAGGGGAGGCAACTCAAATGTAAGGGCAGATAATTCAGATAAAGTTACTTTTACAATAGAATGTGTTAGGAATTTACCTATTTTATTATGTAGCAAGAAAACGGGTCCCGTGACCCCATTTTTTCTTTTTCTTATCTGAAAGCATACTATTAGAGCTATCTTCTCATATTTTATCTCAAAATTCTATGGTGTAGTTTTCGTTTTATGGCAGAAAATTGGGTTTTCCATGCATAATCTATACAAAATCTGTCAATTTTGCACAACCTGTAGCGTGAAAATAAGCCCCGTGACCCATTCTTTTTATTATTTTTTTTTTAAAAAGCATGATATAAACTACATTTTGGCAAATTATTAAAAAATTCTATGGATTATAATTTAGACACCCCATCTACCTTAAAAGTGGCCATTGTTGAAGATGCAGGTGAGGGACACAGGTTCTTATGAGCCTCTAGTTCTTCAACCTTGAGCTTAGTTTTGCTACCCTTGACCTTAGTTTTAATGTTTTTTTGCGAGGTATCGCACTTACAGTAATATTCCTAATTAGAATTAAAAAACAAATAACTTAATTTAGTTTAGTGAATCGATTGCTTTAGTCAAAAATTATTTGTTGGTTTTTGTTATTTTAAAGACCTTTTGTCATATTTTTATGAGTTTGCAGATATCTGGCTGTATGAACGTTTTCTTCACTGGATGTTAACTGTAAATCCAGAAATAAGCATGGACACAGCAAATACAGTTCGTGTTACTGTGATACAAAAACAATTGATATGAGATCTCGTTTGACCTACATTTGAACTAATAAGAAACATACAGTTTCAAAAGCTTTCTAGGCAATGGTTTCTAAGACAATGGTATCTGAAGCTATGGACATTCTTTTTCTCGAGATTGTTTCGCCATTATTGCATTATTGTATTTATAAGACAAAGGCCTACCCAAATGTTGAGATATTTTCTGTTCAGTGACACCAGCTTCATTTGCTAATCTCCTCACAATATCCATTGATTGCTGAAAATAGATTGAAATATTCGTTACATGATTATTATTTTCATTTCATTCGGACATGTTCTCGAAGTCCATTCAATCGAATTTAGCTTTGGATGACTATTTGAATGGTCATTGTTAGGGGATGTCATGACCATTTGAATTACGGGGGGGGGGGGGGGGATGAAAATGAATATTCCATTTGTATACTAAAGTGCAAATAAATTTGTGTGCCTTGCCGCGGAAAAAAGCATGCATAGCAACATATATGAAAATGAATATTCAATCCGCAAAATATCCTCCTGCCCCTCTCCCCTGATATTATATCATATGGTCGTCCCCTTAATTTGTTTGCCCCTCTTATGTACGAAATCTAATACGTAATTTGTGTTACATAAATTTGTAATAGTTTTGATGCGTACCTGTAAATTTTTCACTTCGCTCTTTGTTTTCTTTAGGTCATGGGACACTTCCTTTTTCTGCTTGTAAAGTAGTTTTAAACGGAAGTGTTCGTGATCAATTACAGCAACAACCAAACCTTAAATTGGAAAACATGCTTAAATCTTATTTCATTTTCATTGACCAAAAAATGGAACATTACTTATGTCGTTTTCTTCCATATATACACTATATTATTGGTTTCAGTTCAATAACTCGAAAATGCTTCGATGAGATTATTTAAAATTCAAACAAAATGCTAGAAGTTTCTAAACACTGTACTAGTTGGTTTCAACTTTTCCCCTCCCATACTAATACAACCTAATAAAATAAATATTAGTCAAATTTTATGTTTTCACCAAATAATTTAAATATTCTTGTAAACATAACGATGTGTTCTATAATAAACACAGGTCTTGTTTCCAATACATGGCTCAGAATTAGGCCCTTTAATGCAAAAAAATATACTGGTAAAAGATTTTTATAAGATATAATAAATTCTCATTATAGAGTACAATCTGCATTAAAATAACTTTCAATTTTGACAACTAAAATCCGGTCGTAATTTCAAATAAATATTTTTTGGTTCCACTGCTATCCCCTTGATAATCTTGCTTATCCTTCCGGAGTACCTGAGCTCATCCCCGCTTTTTGGTGGGGCTCGTGTTTCTCAGCCTTTAGTTTTCTATGTTGTGTTTTGTGTACTGTTTTTTTTTCCTTTTTCTTTTGTTGCCATCGCGTTGTCAGTTTATTTTCGACTTATGAGTTTGAATGTCCTTTTGGTATCGTTCGCCTCTCTTTGATAATGAAGAAAATAGACAGACGTTGAACATTTGGAGTGTACTTGAACCACATCATTTGATATTTTAACACAAAGTTAGAAGGTCCTAAATATATAATGACCGAGTTCGAATTTGATATCCTCTAACAAAAATCATTTGAGGTACCAACCAAAAATAGATTCCACTAAACACGGGCGGAGTTCTATTGTCAAACTATTAACATAACCATTCTAAGTTATGCCTCCTAAAATGGAAAAAGAAAAAAAAATCAGTGAAGTTTGCGCATCGAATTCATTTTCAATGGAAATATTCTCTATACTTTTTTTTTAATATTTATTGGGTGTATTAAACATAATGAAGTATCTCAACTACTATGACACTTTTGTTTATTAATAAAATGGAGAAAAAAATCTACTTACTATTTACTACTCGAATGACCCGCCATGGTACCAGAAATGCCAAGATAATGACAAAATCTTGTATTTTGTAGGCGCTTATACCTTTCAAGAAATAGACATCAACAAAGAGTGACCCAAAGACTATTACACAGTCAAATACCTACAATGAACATATTGATGAATTAAAACCAACTGGCTTAAAGGCCGTCTTTTTCACTGTCAAATATTTCAGATAAAAATATGTACAATAAAATATAGAAAAACTGATTTTCTGACCTGAAGATAATCTTTACAAGGAATAATGTGTCTCCCTTATCCTATTATTGAATGGAAAAAAATGAACTACATATTTGCACCCCTCTTAAACCTCAAATTTATAACAGTAACATCTTCTTTGCAGCAGCTCCATTTACAATGATATAATAATAACAGTAATACAAATGATGATAGTTCATATGTGTATGTATAATAATAATAAGAAGAAAAAGCGCAGCAAAAACAACAAGTCGATCCATTTTCGATCGAGAAACTTAAAAACACTTGTTGACTGAAAGACTTGTTAAACAAAAAATATAGATATTAGAAGAGGAAAAAAAGATATCAAAGCCTGTGCTAAATTTTATAAAAAAAAACCAGGAATTTATTGTAAAAGTATTATGCCAATTGCAGAAATTTAATGCAGATGAGTGTTTCATAACCCGTTGATTATACTATATATGAAGCAAAAAAGTGTACAAATGGTCTTTCAGGTCCAAGACTTTCTTTTGTCTTATTAAATGTATTGATTAAGATTTTAACTGAACTGTTCTGGTTAATCTTTGCGTTTCTTTTTAGTAGCATATATTTGTAGTTTGAAACAGATAGAATGCGTCTTTTTATTGATTGTAATTCTATCATACAGATTTCCTTTTGACAAAAATAAGATCATATCTCCCTGAAGACTAATGAAGTTGCTGTATGACCTCTTCTTCACGTACAACCGCTGCCTTTCTGATATTTTGATACCAGTATTATAGTTCTTTTCATATTTAATGAACGGTGACAAATCTGAAAGCAACTATGGTATTAATGAATGTGTTCTACAGTGCTATGAAACAATAGAATACAATCTTGTCACTTTGAACAACTCATTTATATTTTGCACTTACTTCTAATTTTCTTTCAAAAAATCTCAGCCCATATGCAAATATCTTACAGATTGTCTGAAAAATAATATATGAATACTAAGTATTTAATACAAAAGTCAAACTTTAGAACGAATAGCCGTAATACACATGTGATGTACAAATGTATTTCTTTTACAAACAAAGGAACATGAAATGGTAATAGCATATGGATACAGACAGACAAACAGACATATGGATACAGACAGACAAACAGAAATGTATGCACACATATTACAAAACCGAGACAATGCGGAAGTCCAATTATTTTACAACTGATTGAATTATAAATTTGATAAATTCCGGAGGTGCAGTATTCATTTCCATTAGGCATTACAGTAACTAAAGCACTAATATACTCTTTAAATTTAAAGTCTGATATTCTGATATACTATTTCAAATTATTCACCTCAGCAGCTAAAATTGCTAAAATACTAATACTGGCTTTATGAAACGCATGCGCTAGGTCTTCTTCAAAACTATGCGCATGATCGCCTTGATGATCATCGTGATGGTCCTCCTTTGTACTGTTTCCGTTTTCGTTATCTGTCCCATTGATTTGGGTATCAGTATGCACATTGGCAGATCGTTTTTCTATCGTATGAGGAGTGGAATTTTCTATTACATGATGACTGGTTCCTTGATGTGAAGTCGTTGTCAATTCAGGACTACAGTTAAAAACTACTGACGGTAGCTTGTTGGTTTCAGAATGGCTCCATTCTATATGTGCGTGCAAAAGTTTAGAATACAGTGGTTCTACATCCGGTATTTCGATAACTGACAATTCCGTCGGATAGATAGTTTTCATATCAATGATGAAGTTATTCGTCACTGATTCCGATGATTCAAGAAGTCCTGCAATACACATATACAACAATGGTCATTATTTATTTGGTGATTTAAGATGTCCTGTAAGATACACAACAATAGTTATTATTTATTCAATTTTATCTTAGATTGTCTTAGAGTCTTATAGATATATGATTTTATACATCTATCATGGCTAAATTATAATAATTTCATTCATGATGTTTATTAAATTAGTTTAAGTAAAGAGCTTTAGCGTACTACCAAAACATTCCATGTAAAGCATGGTAAATAAATATTATGGAGCATATATTCAACTTTTTCCATGTTTTCTATTAATTATATTATTTTCAAAAGACTTGTTTATAATAGTTAACATACATTGTTTAAATAAAGTTAAATTGTGATAAAAGATATAAAATCTAAAAATGTAAATATGTAAATATGATGAAAACATTAGTTCTGGCTAAAAAAAAAGATATCCGCATTTATTAATTTCTTTTCGAGAATAACTTGTAATATTGTTTTACATACAAGAACATTATTTTTTCATAACCAAGTCTTTCTCAAATATATATTTTGATTTTATTTCTTTCTGATTTTTAGCATGTTTAACTGCTAAGTAGCTTTTGATTGTCAGTTTTCTGTTGTCTAGATTGTCAATTGGCATCTCAATGAACAACTGGTTCATGTCATTATCAGATAAATGTGAAAGCCATTACAACGCACATAGAACCTTAGAAGCCAGTGTTGAGCTTCACCTATGAGTTTATACATCACTGTCCCATGTTAGTGAAGGGTTCGGCGCCAGCAAATATGTTTAACCCCGCTACATTCTGTATGTGTATGCCCCAAGTCAGGAGCCTGTAATTCAGTGGATGTCGTTTGTTTCTGTATTCATATTTATTTTTCGTTTATTGTTTTGTACATAAATCAGGCCGTTAACTTTTTCGTTTGAATTGTTTTACATTTTTCATTACGAGGACTTTTATAACTTACTATGCGGAATGGGTTTTGCTCATTGTTGAAGGTCGTACGGTCATTTGGTCTCTGGTGGAGAGTTGTCTCATTGTCAATCATACCACATCTTATTTTTATATTGATATTAGGCTATAGTGTAAATATCATTGTAAACCAAGACAAATCTTAAAATAAATCGATTGTCCCGTGCTGAACTTTCAGTGGCAAATATTTCATGCATATTCAGGATGACGCGGGTAAGAAAAGCCAGTAATAAAGTCATTACTTCTATTCATTCGCAGTAAAACCTTTAAAAAACAGATGCTCTGAAATCTATGGCAATTCTAACGAAAAGACCGGAAACCGTAAAATACTATAAAACTCCAGTGTTACACAAGAAAAGATGAACTAAGATGGTTCTGCTCAAACCCATTTTGTTTTCAATTACCGATCATTTTTACATCGGGAAAGCGTCCTAGATTAAAGTAACGAAAAAAAATTTATAAACGCATCACAAGTTAGAAGTAAAAGGCACCATGCAAGGATTTTCAAGTATTTGAAATCTGAAACCTTTTTTTTCTCGAGCGTACTTAACGAAGACTCTTCCAGAAACACACGTCTGGTGCACTAAAATCGGAACTGGTTTTCTGGGGGAGCGTGGGAGGTGGATTTTATGCAGATGTAATATCTATTTTCACTTGTTGTTAGCACGGGTTATTTATTTCGCATGTGTACACAACTTATACCTGCATTGTCTTGCTTTTAAATGGAAAGACTATTCATTTCTATTATGTTTTGGGCTATTACCAGGCCAGAAAATATATATTTCCAAAATTCTCCTGCCCCCTTCCTCATCCCCCAGAATATCAAATGGTCATTCCCTAATACTTTCCCAAATATATTGTTATTTTAGTTACTTGAACAAATGTGCAATTAATGAAATAAGCATAGAAATTCATGACCTACATTGGGCAGGATGGAAAAACAAAAGTCATACTATGTTAAGATAAGATTATACCTTTTACATAATACATGTCCAGAATAAGTTCTCCCAATACAAGAATACAGTCGATGACGTTCAGAATAATAATACAGAATAGTACTTGTTTACTATGTAAAACATGTTCTCCCTTTCTTCGTGCTCTGAAAGTACCACAAATAAAACAGAATTATTACACTTGATTGATTGGTTGATTGAGTGTTGCTTGCTCAACGCCCAATTCAAATTCTGACTTTATTATGATACATCTTTGTTTCCTTTAAGGAAACAATAAGTGAAGGATTGGCTGAACGTTTATTGTCTATCAGCTCATAGACATAATTGTGTCATGTGACCGTGACGACATCAACTTTTATGCATGATTTACTCCTTCAAAAAATGAAATTTAGAATTAAATTATAAGGAGGAGACTGTAATATTTTTTCTGTCTATTCGAAATAACCTCATAAATGTGGTGCATACGCGGGTTATTCAGTGTGCACCACATTTTTTATGTTATTTCTTCATAGACAGAAAAAATTTTTTACAGTCATTCCTTGAATATTTCTTTAAATTTCATTAACTACAACCTAAATAGATGTATAGCCATTTTTATATTCTTTTTATTATAGTACAGTTATCCAATTTCTCTTTAAATTTGCCGAATAACACGAAGTTTGATGACCTATGTATCTACCCACTGAAGCTGCATAAGCTTTGATAAAGTTTTTAATTATACCCTTTTTCTTAAAAAAAATATAATTTGCAACTGTTACGAATTTACAGTTTAAGAATGTTATAATATATCTACAGTTATATATTTTCCGATACCTCTATGAATTTCCCATTTGATCTTTTTATCATTGAAAACAGCATCGAAATCATCCCTTTATCCTTGGTTGCTATAAGACGCTTTACCTATACAGTTGTTGCTAGGGTGCTCTCTTCGAGGTCCGCGTTCGAAGTATAAATACTGGGTAGCTATTCAGTTCAAATTGACCGACCGTGCAAGGGCTGTATAGCCAGTCAAGGTCGTTAAAAACTTCCATTTGTTGTTGTTCAAATTGACCGACCGTGCAAGGGCTGTATAGCCAGTCAAGGTCGTTAAAAAAACTTCCATTTGTTCAAATTGTCATTTGTACCGAAGACAGCAGACAGTGAACATCGGAAAATTTGGAAAGGAAGAAGTTTACAACAGGCAGAATGTTTAGTTTAAGTGAAGTGAAGTGCTTGGAACCTGCGGACAGGATATAGAAAGGCTGAGACTGTTGGTTCGGTACAGATTGTCCAAACAGGGTTGGCGCTAAGGTTTTGCGTCTCACATCTCTCACTATTGCAGTGAATGTTTGCTGACATACCATGCCTTAGTGCTACCCTGTTGTTCTGACAGTTAAAGACATACTTGTTTAATAAAGTTTCATACGAAAGTTTACACCAGTTCAAATAGTTTCCATAAGTTCGTTTTAATAGGTTCCATACATTTAGGTTTCAGCCTATAGTTCCAAACATTTGGTTTTAAACAAGTATCAGACTGAAAGGGTTTTAGACAGTTTAATTTACAAGGTTCGGGTTAGGCTGATAGGTGTTGAAATTCGTTTTATGAAGTATTTGTTTTATATTAAGTAGTATAGCGTAAACTGTTTGACTTTAAAAATTTTGCATTTGCTCTTCAAATCCCAGGAAACTGGTACGAACCCGAGGATAAAAATATCAAAACGCCCTCGCCCGGTTACACGTTACACTACTATGATATTAAGTTTGATTAATATGGCAAACAAGTAAAATGATTATTTTCTTTTTCCATAAGACGTATTTAATCTTTTCTTAAACTTGTTTTAAATTACAGTAACTTATTTAAAAAGAAATTGTATTAGGAAACAGTACATTTTTACCATTCATAACTTGAGCTGAACACGACTAAGAAAAGTAATATTCGCGTATATTTGTACAAAAACTTTGACACTTCTTTTATGTTGGGATGCAGATGCTGGCTTATAATGAGCCATGTAGTATTTGAATAACATTTTTATACTAAAAAGATAAAGAAAGGTGTCGACTGCTCAAACCAAGTCTTTCACTAGTAATGTGTGTTTGTTATGAGTTTTGTATATATGACTGATTTTTGGTGCAATATTTTATCAAAATTATTTTTTTACTTTGTTATGAAATAATTTACTCATTGTCCATGATGATTGAAATTTTAAAGATATACATGTATCATATCCATTTAATTTAATTTAAAAATAAAAGTTTAAAGAAAAAAACATCAAATATTTGTAATTAAAATCTTTCTTTATATATGTGTCAGTAAATTATGAAGTTGTAAATGAAATATATAAATATATGCGAAACAACTATAAGTTAATAAATGATAAACCTACTGTGAAAAAAACTTACTCTTTAAAAAAAAGAGGGGGATGGGGATGGTAATCAAATCAAAATGCCTTGTACAATTATAATACCTGATGATGAAAGAAAACAGCAGAAACTATTGCCTGAGGTAATTTTGAATAAAACTAAATGGGATATTATATTTGTTTACAGTTTTGACAGAAATTTTCAAAATCTATCAAGGACGTATAACTAACATATACTAATATACGTCCTTGAATCTATGTACATATAAAATTAAGAAGATGTCATATGATTGCTAATGAGACAGCTCTCCAACAGAGACCAAATGGCATAGAAGTTTACAACTATAGGTCACCATAAGCCTTCAACAATGAGCAAAACCCATACTGCATAGTCAGCTATAAAAGGCCCCGAAATGAAAAATTTAAAACAATAAAAACAAGAAAACTAACAGCCTGATGTTACTTTTTTGTATGTACAAATCAATGAACAAAAGGCAAATATGATATACAGCAACAAACAACAATAACTGAATTAAAGGCTCCTATACATTTGTACCTTAGTTTATGGGAAAAATTTTTATTGAATTTTTATTTTGACTATAGCCAATGGTTCATTAGCATGATTAGTTTAATCATTAAAAACTGCATCATTGTTACTATATATATAAAGTAAACAAATCATAATAGATTTATTATATTTATTATATATTCATAAACATAAAATATATGTAATCACGCTTTGAAGAATTTGAAGTTCAGTAACACTAACTACAAGTAATACAAACTTTTTCATATGTACGAATAAAAAGAGATGTGGGTATTTGTCAATGAGACAGCAACACAATGACAAACATCTCCATCATATATCCAGAGGGTAAGATAGTCTCAGATTACAACAAAGATGGACAAGTGTTTATACAATATGCAAAGCTCTATAAAACTTGTAAATAAATTTATTTGTGTCCACTATAAAATAAAAAGTCAGTGTGATCCTTAAACGCACCTTCAATTTTACACAAGTTTGTAAGAATGAATACTTTTAAATATTTTGGAATAAAGTTTTATATTGAATTATCATATTTTACTCTGCCAAATGTACTCTAAGTGGGTAAAACTTGCATATTCACAAGTCAGCATTAAAAGATTTTTTTTGAGATTGCTTAATTAGAATATTATAAAATATGAAAATAAGAGATATATAAATACTGGAATTGGAATTTTCTTCGATTCCTCATGAATGTTTGCATTATTTTTAAATACAGCAACATTTACTTATAAAATTATATATGTGCTTTTCCTTTCCGGAAAATGTAATGAGCGATGTCAAGTAATGAACAAAAGAAGTAACATGAAGTTAGACAAAACAACTTGAGGTGCCAGATTTTGTGCAATTGTTATTTGCAGATTTATAGATGGATTTTGCCAACATGTGAACTGTTACACAGGGATCAAATATGTTATTTTGTAGAAAACGTTTGTTCCATTATTTCCCAAAGATAGTGAATTTAAAAGTTTCATATCTATTTACTGAATTGAATGCTGCCTAAAAAGAATTTATTTGCGTCTACTTTACAACATATTTTGTCATAAATTGATTTTATATCTTTTTGTGACAATTAATGTTGATTATTAGGGCTTAGTTGTTGACATCTGCTCTATATAGTAATCTCTCTGTTCGTCTGTCTGTCAACACTTCTATGTCATACGATAAGTCAAGATTACCTCAACTGATTTAAAAAATGTATATGCAAAGTGGAAATAAATGTAAAACGGAAGATCCCTTGTGTTTTTTGTAAAATTTGGGGGTGAAAATGTGGTCGAACACTAGGTATTTTTAAAAATATCACAAATTTTGAGAAAACATTTTTTGGCTAAAATTTCCACAAAATTTGATAAAGTAGTTATAATATGCTTTTCAAAATTGATTCCCAATGTTAAATATTGACTTTTGTTATGATTTGGTCTAAAATTTACCAAGAAGACTTAGTTTTTTTTTTAACTCGCCTGCTAAAGTAAGTCAAAGGGATTAAAATCCAGCGAGGATTTAAACTATTTGCATAAACCTTCATATTTCCGTGGGTAGAAGACTTGGATGCTTCATTGACTGTATACAAATACTTTATGTTAAGAAGTTTCCGTCTGTCATATGTCCATTGTCCTTGGTCTCATTTTCATGGTTCAGAGACTGCCTAAATATTATTTAATATATTTTATAAGACATAAAAAATTTAGCGGTCGTATATGATACATGACGTTGTCGTTGTCCTAAAACGTTTGGTTTTCAGACAATATCTTGAGTATAAGTGTATCGATCTCTATGAAATTGTACCTCAAGGTTCCATACCACAAAAGGAAGGTTGGGATTGATTTTGGGGGTTATTGTCCTCACTGTTTTGGAATAAGGGACCAAAAACAAGCATTTTTCTTATTTTAGGATAATAACTTGTGTATAAGTGTGAATTTGTACCACAAGGTTCCATACCTCAGGAAGGTTGGGATTGATTTTTGGGGTTATGGCCCAAACTGTTCAGGAATTAAGGGCAAAAAAACCAAGGATTTTCTGGTTTCCGGACAATAACTTGAGTATAAGTCTTTAAATCTCTATAAAAATGTTCCACAAGGTTCCATACCAATTAATTTTGGGGGTTATGGCCCTAACTGTTTAGGAAAAAGGGACCAAAAACAATACTTTTCTAATACTTTGTATAAATTGCTTATTTCTTGGTCAATTTCAATGGTGTTTTGTTTAAAGTCTTGAATTCTTGGGGTTCTTTGAAATGCTGAATCTAACCATATATTTAGATTTTTGATTTTTGGTCACGCTTTCAAATTGGTCCACATTAAGGTCCAAAGGGTCAAAGGTGAAATTGTTAATGATAATATTAGTAAGGTGATTAAGAGAGGAATGAGGTGAAAACAGGCATTATTAGCTCTTCTTTGCTAATGAGACAACATTCCACCTGTGACGAAACGGCCATTGGACTTGAATCATTTTCAACTTAACTAGTTGCAATTGATTTACTGTTCATAAGTTCTTCTCTGGTTTAAGGCACATCACTATAATAATTATTATTATTAATGCCGAGAGTATCAGGACATGATTTGGGTGTAACAGCTACCAAGGTATCTGTTAGCTTAAATCCCAGTCCCGACTCATGCATATTAAATAATTGATATTGGTTAATGTTTAGTTAAAGTAAAAATTGCATGTAACACTTGGTTCTTGTTAAGGATTTTGTAGGCAAATCAATGGACTCAATATTGTTGGTCATGGTGAGTAGGGGTAAAAATTGGAATGCGACATCTGAGAAGTAGAAGGGGGAAACATTTCAAAAAACCGTGATTTAGAAAACGAGTTACCAAATCATTTATATCAAACAACAGCCTAACGTTGAACCCTGAAGTCCTATAAATACTGTCGCCCTGTAAGCCCGTTACATTTCCTTATTCGTGGATATGACATCATACGACCGATCGAACAGAATATTTACGGGGAAGCCACAGGCGCTTGTTTCCATCCATTAGGAGGTCGACTATCCATATATAAGAGGGTCGTATTGGGGTACCTTCATGACGAATAACGGTAAAACAATCTTGCCAAATGACGTTAACGGTATTTTTTGGTGAATGACGATAACATGTATACTTTCTTCATGACGAAAAAAAAATCGACTGATTTTGACGAATCACGTTATTTTTTTCCCAAAAATAACGGTAACGGATAATTATTTGAGACATCTGACGAATCACGATAAAATTTAAAACAATTTGACGATAACGGCAGCCGAAAATGACCGTTTCACGCCTGACGGTAAAGGGCATTCCTACCCTCATATAAAAGAAGATGAAATGGAACACTGAGGGGAATATAAAACAGGGTAGGGCAAATTGTACATTAAGTTAAAAAGCTAGGTAACAAAAATGGTCAGAAGCGGAGACGGTACACACATATTCGTTAGCCACCTTCATTTATGTATATGGATAGTCCAACTCCCAATGGATAGAAATAATGACCTGTGGCGGGGAAGCATTGGTATAAGATAATGGAGGGTCGTACGTAATGGGGGTACCTTCATTGCATTAAGGAATGAGGAAACAGAAGACAATCTATTATTCTTCATGTTTATAAGCATATTTCCCCCTGTTATTGAATCAAGAATCACGGAGTTAAAAATATGTTTCCATCAAGACCCGAAGATGGAAGAAAATTTAACGCCATTTTCAACTGGAACCGTATGTCGACGTCAACAAACCGGGAACCGAAACGTTCAAGTTTAAGGACATGGTAAGCTCATACCGACCATTAATATTTGTATATTCCAAAGGCATACTGAATATTTTACGGAAGGAACCAACCTATCATTTTGATTGCCCCTTTCATGTCTTCCGCCTCGTTTTCAGAAGTAAACTTTCAGAAAGTGCAAAATATGTGAATATTATTAGAACAGTTTTAATCATATACAAATCAATCAATTACGATCAACTTACCATCGGATAAATTACTAATATTATTTAATTTTATTATAGTATGTAACCACTAATAAAATAATCCAGAATTGAGATCTAGAAGATTTCGTCAACGTTCACTAAAATCTCAAACTCTGGCCTTTTTGGGGTGTTAATCTCATCACTTTATAATAATAAGCGTTACAAAATCGTTCTCACATATAAATGTATCGACTGAAAACGCTTTTATAGATTTAATATTGGGGACCAATTAGAGAATTTACCGCACTTATTCCTTTCATCATGTTTTAAACAGGATTTTCACCTTGATTTTATTAGCCCTTCCAAAACTTTAACGACATATAGATATGTAACTGTCTTTTTGAAATGTAGTGTTGATAATTTGACTTGGTATACCAAAAGCTACTTCAGTCTTGCATATTGTAACTTTCATGCAAATATAATAAATGAAGCAGGATTATTATTCTCTTTACTTTTAGTTTGCATTCTCATTCAAAACTATATATCATTATTATTAAAACTGGAGATGAACTAGTAATGTAAGTACAACTTTTCCTTAGAAAATGGCAGCAATGTTTCTTTTAGAATTTATAGATACCGCTTGTACCTCGAACAAATACCCACATGACATTCATTAGTCGAAATTTCGAATGCTAAAACTGCTTTTTGGTTCCCTTAAAATTATTTTACCAGACATAATAATCGAACATAAGAAAATTGTTATCCAGGTATTTTCCATCTGTGGAGTCATTCTATTTTTAGGAGAAATGTAACAATGGTTCTTCATTCAAATATTCAGATATAAATTACAACTTAAACCAACAAACAATTTTCCTATAAAACATTTGATCTCCGAAAATGTTTAAATGATTTGCCAAATTCCCATGCCTATGTAGCGTGGCTGGTGATTACGTCTTAGTATATTTCTCTTACTTAATCGCCCAAAGATGTTATTCTAAAGTAGATAAACGGAAATACTAATTGTGCAAGTAAAAAAAATCTATTTCAGGTGTTTGATTTAAAAATAAACATTCTATTTCAATTTATTTGTATTGTTAATATAAACAAATTGTATAGTTGAATTAATCTTACTTTCCAACCAACGTCTGAGGTGGAGCTCTATTTTCTCTTTGTATTTCTAATTCCAGTCGCTTCTCCGTTTTATCTAATATAGAATGGAATCTGGCTATAGCTAGAGAACCAGTAGCCAAAGCCTAAAATATTAAACAACATAAGTAGACTTTACTTGTTATTTCCTTTTAAAAAAATGTATATAAATCAATGTCCCCTTTTTCAGATGAACTTGTGCATATCACATAGCAAGTGATACATGTTTATTGCAAATACGTACATCTTTTTGCCAGTCAAGGAATATGGCGTCGATTAAGCCGTACTGTGACCTATAATTGCTAAAATCCACTTCATTTGGACTCGTTTTGATAGTTGTCTCAATGGTAATCAAATCAAATCTCCTTATTTTATATTAAGTTGGTCTTCTTTGAACCAATTCAAACTTAGGGTTATTTCAGAGCTTGAGAAAGGGTGCAAACACTTGTCTACTATTTAAGGTCTTATCTTTACCTTTGAATATAAAAAAGAAGATGTGGTATGAGTGCCGATGAGCTACATGTTTTATACGAAAATATATCAATGACAAAAGAAACAACAACACTACATGTTTTATACGAAAATAATCAAATTAATGTATCTATTCAATTAACGATAGCATTGGTAAGAAATTATGACGCAATATTTTTGATAACATTGAAATTCAATTCTGTTTTTTCCAAAAATTCTGAAATTCTTTTTTGTTTTGAATTCTCAAAAGCCGTTTTAAATTTCGTCAAAATGGAGTCATTCAGACAGTCGTCATACAAAACAACTAACAAGTATTTTCTAGGTTCATTTCAATCCAACACGCATTGTGATTAGTTGTTTTAGCGGCACAATCTTTGAAGGTAAATGCTTACAATTTTAGAATTTAAACCTAATATTTAGCAAGAAAACATGAAATTGAAAAAAGTTGATCGGCGAAATGGTGGTATGTTGATGTGTTTTTTCTGTGGCTTATTGTATTTACCTTGAGCCCTCTCTCGGGTTTCTTCTTCATCTTTGGCGAATAGCACAGAGGTGGGTCTAAAAAAGGGAGACGAATCAATGAAATGGACAAAATTAGAAATGAAAATTAATTTAATTCTTATTTATAAGTTTGAATTAGTACACGTTGAATTATAAGATAGCAATATCTTAACTCTTTAAAAGTTATAAACTCATTTGAACGTACTCGCTCTAATAAAAAATAAGATGCAATAAAATAAAACATTCAAACTTACCTTGTCTAGTAGATGTATAACTGATGGACTTGGTTGATAATATAGAACCTGTTTTATTTCATTTATTACTTATATATGATAAAAGAAAATATGTAAATTCTAAATGTTACAAACTATATATTCTATTTACTGTAATGGGATTATATATAGTCGTTAATAGACTACAATATGTGTGTGGCTATTATCAGTAAAATATTTGACCGTAGTGTAACAGTATCTACCTTAAAGGTATTTTTAAAATGTAAAACGGAACGAATATAAGAAGAAACATGACCGCATATCCAATATAGAACCGATGTCAATCAAAAAAGAAATAATAAAGACAAAAACAAAAACAAAAACAAACACAAACACAAAAACAAAAAACAAAAGTAAAACAAAACAAAATAAAATCTCACTGAGATCTCGTGTTGTTCGGAAAAGTCGGATGTATTTGTCAATGTAACATCGATTTTGCACGGTGTTGATAATCTTATCAATGGAACTCATTTCACGGGTGTCATTAGGTATATCGAAAAAAAGATCGTGAAAGAATAACTAACAATGGTCGACTCGGCATTGCGATCGGATCATGAAAGGGGTGGTATCGGATCGTGAATGCCATTAAGTGTAAATCTACTTCAAAATCTGTGAAAAGTCTGCTGTATTTTCAAAATGTGGAACAAATCAGAAAAACAGAAATATGTCTGTCAAAATGATTCATCTTCCTTAATTATGCTGTGCACTAAGTTAAAGAAAAGATGCAGTACTTTTAAGGAAAACACATAAGACGACACACAATCCTATGAGAATCATTAAGAAAAAATCAATTTTTGTATCTACATATATAATGGTCACATTCCAAAATATCATGATATAATTGAAACTTAATATTTAGTGCGTCAGATAGTCCATTTAAATAAAAGTATGTTATTATTTGTTCATATTATTTTAAAAACAATTCTTTTTTTACCAATTTATATACTTGTAATTGGTTGAAGTGTGTAGTTACTTACTAAGAACGTAAACTAATGCTTTCAATTTTTTTGGTGATATATATGTTTTGTTAAAATATTCTTTTTCACTTTTTAGGTCTTTTGGAAAATGTTGTTTGTTTGTTCCAGGGATACCATAGAGAACATTTTTGAACAATTTAATGTTGTAATAGACAAAATGTGAATATTCATATTGAATATAAATTTTTGGTGCATTTTCAGCCTTATTTTTTTCCCCTATTTTATGCACAGCGTGGACAAAATTTAAAACTTTTCGATGTATATATTCTGTTTTCTGTTTGGTATTAAATTAATAATTTTAAAAGATCCATTTTGTAACATCTTGTGATCCGTTTATTTGGCAATCGCCAATGGCAGTCAGCAGGGTTTAAGAACATCTGTTGTTCTACCTGTTAGTAAATTGCGTTTTGTTAAAATATACTTTTTCACTTTTTTGGTCTTTTGGAAAATGTTGTTTGTGCTGTATTTAGACCCCTCTATCAAGAAATTTGTTTTGCATGCACACGTATAAAAATTGCGGTTTTTATCCAACGCAATCATAGGTTTGAACGTTGTTTTCAATTTAGATTTGTTTATATTTTTTCGTTTGGGCTTGTATTATATTTGCCTTCGGGTTTATATGATCCGTTTATCCTATTTCTAATATTTCGACTCTTCAAAATTCAAGAGTCTATCCTAAATTGAGGTAAATTATATGGCCTTCCAAATACCGTTTCGATCCCTAACATCACTGAAGAGACATTAATTGTCGAAATCCGGATATGGTGTACTAATTTTTGCACACTAATTTTTGCACCTTTTGTTTGTGATATACCATCTTTTCCTCAAGTTTATTGTTTTTTGTTTGGTATTTAATTAATAATTTTAAAAGATCCATTTTGTAACATCTTGTGATCCGTTTATTTGGCAATCGCCAATGGCAGTCAGCAGGGTTTAAGAACATCTGTTGTTCGACCTGTTAGTCAAATGCGTTTTGTTGATATATACTTTTTCACTTTTTTGGTTTTTTGGAAAAATGTTGTTTGTGCTGTATTTAGACCCCGCTATCGAGAAATTTGTTTTGCATGCACACGTATAAAAATTGTGGTTTTTATCCAACGCAATCATAGGTTTGAACGTTGTTTTCAACTCGTCTAAACATCAGCCCAACAATGTTAGATCTGTTAATTTGCTTTCGCAAATTTTTAGTTCTTCCCTCGCCGGGATTCGAACTCATGCTACTGAGATGTCGTGACACCAATTCGCCTGCACTATATCCGACGCGCTAGACCACACGACCACCTAGGCTCCACAATAATAAAGAAAGCTTTCGGTGGCCGAGTGTTACATATATATATAACAAGTCTAAAAGGGCACATCACCAAAAAATAATAATAAAATGAACATATGTTAAATATTTCGGATAACAGATAACCTTCATCAGTGTCGAGTATGATCACGATGTAAAATGAATCATATCAATCTAGTCTGATTATAAAACTATAACAATCTTGAAATTCATACAATAAAACAGTCAAAACTTAACATCATAAAGACGCTTGTACAATTCTAAAATGTTTTAAACATGACGTAGGTTATGTAGCTATTTACAACAGAGCCTGCAAAGATATGCTTCAAATAAAAATAGTAATGTGCGATATGAACTGGTACAACTCTAAAATTTCAAAGGCTCAGACATTATCGCTGTCTTAGTCAATATCACTGTCCTGTGGGCAGTCCATATATCACGATAATGACCAGTTCTTCAATAACTATTATATAAATATAAACGTAATGTATTTCGTATGAGGACGGACATACACGTTTATTTCTATACTGAATTTAGGTTTGGTATTCTTTTTACCATTGCATATGAAATTTATATAATTTAACGCTTTTAGCTAAAGAGCGAACTAATCATAAACGTCAAAAAGAAGATGGGACATTTGTATATTTTACCATTTAAAATCTCGGTATCAAAAACATGATTTTTTTTAAAAGAACTTTTTTCTTCCGTATACTTTGGTGCATTGTACATCACATTTTCTAATGAATATTTTGTATACAAACATGTTTAACCCCGCCATATTCTGTATGTGTCTATCCCAAGTTAGGAGCCTGTAATTCTAATTCAGTGGTTGTCGTTTATTGTTTTGTACATACATCAGGCCGTCAGTTTTCTCGTTTGAATTGTTTGACATTTGTCACTTGGAGGCCTTTTTTAGCTTAATAGGCGGTATAGATTTTGCTCATTGTTTAAGGCTGTACTGTGACCTATAGTTGTAATATACGTTATTTTGATCTCTTGTGGAGAGTTGTCTCATTGGCATTCATACCACATCTTCTTATTTTTGTAAAGTTATAGCCACTAAATACTCCCCTCCAATCATATATTATTTTCAACGCTTTTGTCTACATAAATTTGTCACGAATTGTAAAATATTGTAGGTTCCATAAGAATACAAGCTTCTTAAAAGAATTTAAAGAAAGATGATGCATTTATCTAAACTAGGGACAGTTGGTTGGTATAAAACGATTCACATGAATTAGTGCGATGTACAGTTACTCCATAGATAAGTAAAACAGAAAAGACCAGACACAGTATTTATCATAGAAGTCCAAAGAAGTCGTAAGATAGATTTGCATCGTAGATCTAAAATATATTAGTAATTAATTTCCAGTTGCAGTTCAATGATTCTGAAAAGGGTGGGTACCATGACAACGTTAGGAGTTGCATTTGAAAAACGTTTATGCATTTTCCATATATGTAGCTGCGGCCCAGCACCCCCAACACTCAAAGAGAGAAAAGAAATAGATATAAAAATCCGCCTCTGACTTCACAAGTAAACCCGGTAAAAATGATATATAGATTTAGAGTAAATCTCTCATTTACAAATTTATAACTGTTTTCGGATGGTTCCTTTAATTTTCTCGAGATTCAATTGAATAATGTTTAATTGTCATTTCGAAGTATTTGTGAAGAAGAGATTAACAATTTACCTTGGATTCTTTTTTTTGCTGGCACTGAACTTTACATCCTGTATAGGTCATTTTCAAAAAATGTCGAATTTTGAAATTAATAATACTAATTTAAACCATCCTTTTCATAAGCAAATCAAAACAAACAATACTTATGGAACAACTTATAAATAGATGAACTCTTGATAATGTCATGCAAGAATATATTGAAACATTTTTTGATAGGTGGAGCAATATTTTTTCTTTCCTGTTACCATGTTCAAAAGAATTTTTTGAGTTATTTAGAAAAGATTTCGATAAAATTTTAAGCTTGTTTTTCATAGCCAATAAGATGGTTTTCAAGAGTAAAAAACTTCTATCTATTTTCATTCTGGGCAATGATAGATTATTTGTCAAATTTCCATGATGTACTGAAAAATACCGCTAAAAATTGGTTTTCAAAGTGTATAAAAATAACTACTAGCAAAGTAAGTTTAAGATAGCGATTAGTAATGTTCATCATTTTTTTCTCTTTCAAATAAACCCAACATCAAGTAATTCCCTCGCACGCTGGTTTACTTTTGTCGTTTTGTGTTGAGTAACAGGAACGTACGTTAACGATATAACAACAGTTCTATCTTGTTACCCTTTTTGTCTATCCTGTTCCCGATAGCAGTATTGCACTTTTATGTTCTAAATTGCGAAGATTAAGACGTTGTAATATCTAAATGAGTTCAAACAACCAAACATTTCATTATGTTTAAAATCATATATAATTATATACTTTTTAAAGACGTTTCAGTCAAATATTGTCTATCCTGTTACTGTAACCATAGTAACAGGAT